GGCAAAGTGGACACAGTTCAGTTTTCATCTTTAGAACATGACTTCTTTGATAAACTCTCAGCAGCAGTAAGGTAAAGGCACGTTGGAAATACATAAAACTTCGAGAAAGCTTTTGATTTACATCGTTTGACTGCGGTCAAGGTTAACGTGGTCCGATAAATTTCATGCAAAACCGAGAGTTTCTGATGCACCTGACCTTTTAAATATTGGACGTGTCTTGATTATGCGTGACGTCACTTGAAACAAAATGGAGTATGGTATATAAAAAGGCGAAGAGTCATACACGTAAGGAATGCACTGATACATGTATCTACAGCTGTACGTTGATATCGAATACAAAAGTGTTTGATTTCCTTGTTACCCATTTCTTTCTTTGTTCTTAGTCAGTCAGCAAGAGAGGAAAGTCAAGTACACATCTGAGGTATCGATTGCAGTCAACAACCTGCGAGCTGAGCGATTTAGTTTGTGATTTTATTCATTTAATTTTCGATTTATGCTGATTCACGTCGCTTGAGCTTCGCTATGCGGGCGTGTGTGGATATATTGAACGCAAAGAGAATTCACGTGAATGGAACTTCATTAGATACAGTGGAAACTCTCAAGAAAAAGATCTCGAAAGAGACTGGCCTCTGGCCATGCCTTCAAACTCTTCATGTTTTACAGAATGGAACAACTGTTGAATGGAAAGACGACAGTAGCATATATTTTGGAGACTTGATAAAGAAGAAAGCAGTGATATATTTGTCGTACAAAAAGGGCAATTCGTCTTCTTCCTATTACATCAACATAGTGACTGAAACTGGGCGAGTTTTGCTCGTCACTCCTGAAGGGGGAAAATCGGTAACTATAAACGATTTGAAACAGCAGTTGTCGATCATACTGGGTCTACGCGCAGATAGTTTATTTTTGCGCATTGTTGAACTGTCAAACCGTATAAATAGGCCACTTGGAGAATTATTCAATACCTTAGAGGATTACGGTCTGATCAGTGGTTCTGTTTTGTACGTGCAGATTCATCCCTGGAGTGAGAGGTGAGTTGGTTGTTTACGTGACAAGTGACTTGGCTTCAAACATGTGCTGTGCAAGTGACGCACACTTCAATTTTACCATTAACTTCGTGGGTGACTAATGGTTTTTGAGAAATTACTTATTAATCGTTTAAGTCTTTGAACTCATATTTACTGGTTTTATAACAGACCATGATTTCCGAGTTCCAAAGGAGAATTCTCCCTGAGAATAAAAAATTCACTCACGTACTTTCACTTTTAAAAACAAAGGTTCCGGATGACTCAGAAATTACCAGTGTTATCGTTGATGTTTCTTTAATAAATCTTATTAAATAGCACACATGTACAGAGTATGTTCTGGTTTGACTTGATCCTTGGATAAAAATTTTATTTTTCCTTTGTTTTAAATTCATTATCATAAAAACTCTTCCAAAAGGAATGGAAGAAATCAACATATGAATTTATGGAGCTGAACCAAGGCGTGTGTGTTGTGGCTCAGTTTTATCCTTGCTTTAAATTTTACTCTCTTTTGTTTCATACTCATCACACATTACCATTCCTGAAAACAAAAGAAAATAAAATTTAAACCAAAGATAAAATTGAACCACAACATTTACATTGTACAAGCTTACTGGTAATAAATTGACCATTAGGGCTGTACTTAAGTTTAATGCATAGTTCATAATCTTGGACCTCTTTTGCTACGAAGCAGTGACCTTTTTGTCCTTCATTGAAAGCCTTTGTGTCACCCTTCTCCAAAGGTGGCAAAAAGCTGTTACTTACTAGGTAAAAAAGGTGTTAGATTTTGTTTTTTTTTCCATCTGAAGACCTTGTATTAGTAAGAGTAAGTATTAATTTTATTGTTTTATGATCTTGAATGAATAAGGGACTTTAAGATGCCACAACGGCAACGACAACGAGAAAGTCAAAAAAGCAACAGGTTGAATAGGCAAAACAACAACTCTGCACATGCATCACACTTATTTGTATACTTCTTTTCCTTCAATCCACGACTATGACGGGAAAATGCCTAATTTCACGTTTTATGGACGACGTAAACAAGTGGGGGCTAATTTTTTTCTCTTTGTGAACTTGAATATATATGGTTCTTAGGAATTTGGTTCAAAAAGAGTTGGCTCGCATTTGACAAAGTAAATGAGTTGGAGTAATCGCGATAGAGATTGAAAGAACGTAACGTTTTCATGGCTGTCGCCATTTTGGTATCTTAAACTCCCTATTACTATCTTGGATCCTCATGGTAAACTCAGTGACACATGTTTATGGCAGAAACAAACCTTTCACAGGAAAAAATAACAGATTCTCATTTTTGGATATTTTAGTGTATTTAAAGAATACACATAAAAATCCCAAATTTGGCAAAGTGAGACAAGTCCCAACCAGGGAATTCCCAACCAAATTCCCTGGTTGGGACTCGTCTCATTCTTCCAAATTTGGGATTTTTGTGGGTATTCTTTAAATACCCTAAAATATCCAAAAATGGGAATCTGTTATTTTTTCCTGTGTTTCCAACCAAAACAAACTCTAACCTCAAATGCACTAGGTAGTCTGTGATTACTACTAATTTACAAGAGTAAATATATATATAGCATTAAATGTATCTCCACTAATTTCCCTTAGTGCTTTTCAAATTACCTGATATTTAAATTATATTCAATTTTAATAGCTTAGTTCACTTTCTAACATAAAATTCTATAATTGTCTGTAATATCCTTTCTGTTCTATTTACAGTTGGTTCCATGGAAAAATAGGGCGTGACCAAGCTGAGGAAATTATGTCTTCAGCTTCTGAGGGACAGTTTCTTGTTAAAGAGAGTGTATCTTTCCCTGGTGATTATGTCCTATTTGTACGGTATGTTGGTCATATGTTTTGTTACTTGTGCTTAACATTCTAAACTACTTCAGGGTAGAAGAGTTCTGAAAAAGGACTTAAGTGGCTCCTGGTATTACGTCAAGTTCTTCCCTTAGTGCAGATTTCTGAACTATGATATGGAGAATAATTATTGGAAGGAGATTTTAGCAGATAATCAGAAGTCACTAAGGGCTCTATGGCTCCCAAAATAATATGAAATATAAATGTACATTCAAGTAATGTTATATGCAAGTAAGGTGGTACATGCCATGTATACCTGCCATTACATATAAATAAGGTGTTTTGCCAGAATAAAAATACCTGTTTTTGTTAGTTAGATTGGTGGTTGTTAGTTAGATGAGTTGTGGTCAGTACACTTCAGTCTATCTTTAAATCTAAGGACATTTATGCAGTTAGCCTAGTTTTATATACACAGGAGATATCATTTACGTGTCTTAAATATAGTGATGCTGGTCAAGTCAAGCATTTCAAAGTATCCTGTCACAAGAATATGATGTTTGCAATCAATGGACGTGATTTCTTTTACACCATAGCTGAAATGATCCAGGTGTGAAAATTTGTGTACTAAGTTATTTATTCATTTATTTACACCACCGTGTGTGGTTTGAGGTACATTTATTGTGATTCCATATCTACAACACAAGGTACACTGTAATCGTAGACTAGTTTAAGGTGAACAAGAAAAGCTACATAAAATATATGTATGTTAAAGGGTAAAAATAGTGAGTGGTGAGGAGACTTTAGAAAGCCAAAAATTTTTGCCTTCGATGTCCTAGAGAACGAGGTAGCTGATATCCTCCATCCTTATATTCTTAAGGTTGTAACAGTGCATTTAAGTGTGATGAGGTGCACGTATTTCTGATTTGCACTGGGTCTATTTTGTTACTTTGAAGTACTTCTTTACTAAGACAACATTACATGCCAGTGTCCCCATGTGAATATTTCTTTCTTTTTTCATTTTTTTTATGCCTGGAGGGCCATTATTTAATTAACTAACCTGGTAACTGGTAATGATCATTTCTGTGTTCCACCCTCACTAAATAATCTTGTATTTATTTAACATCTTTGCAGGTTTACAAGAGCAAAGAAGGGCTACCCATTAAAGGCAAACTGAAAGAGCCTGTGACAAGGTCTGAGCTCTCTGAATGTACAGGAGGAGAAGGTACTGCTTGTGCAGTTAGAAAAAGTCTCTTAACTGTGTAATAAAAAAACGTCCAGGTATTACATGTTAATGTTAATAATTATTTTTCTTCACATATGAAAACCCATATACACCTGATTCACTTGAAAAGTATAAGACATGAACAATGAGATCTAATGGATTTACAGGTACAAGTTTATTGGCATTGAAATTCATATTTCTTTCCATCTGGAGCTTCTCTTGCTGATGTATTGCAATAACTATGAAGTACTCCTCAGCGACTTGCATCTGCATGAGAAGCACATGATGATATTACAACAACTCTGAAAATAAATGCCGAGAATATGGTTATTTAAAAGTGATCATTCCCAATGATTGGAAAAGATTCAATCAGGCAGGTAACCATTAAATTGGAGTATTCTTCAACCTTGAAACCTATAGACTGCGAGCATTCTCTTATTTTTCTTTGCAAAGTTACTACACGCAAAACCTAATAAGCACGCGAGCAGCGAAGCTGCTTGCCGCGAGAAACGAGGGCATAAGCCCGAGAAGAAAAAAAAGAGACTGCTGACTCTTTTGTTCTGTCTGGGGACAACGAAGCTGTCGAGGTAATTTAATTAATCAATTTAACCCCGGGTAACTTGAAACGATTTATAAATAGAACATAAACAACTGAAAATCTTACACTTTCTTTAAATCTGGTAAGATTGCCTTGAATTCATTTCCATTGAGGAAATTTACAGAAGTTTCCTTCTTTAAGATATCCTTAAAAGTTTTATTACTGAGATTACTGCTTGGTTCGCTATTGTTTGCAGTTGTTTGTGACGCGTGACTATTTTTATTGCTTGCAATCTCACCACAGACCAGTTGATGCTCTGTCAACAGCTGTGCAATTGACCAATCGGTTACTCTGTTTCTGGACTGATGGAGGGTTTGTTTACTACAAAAGAGTCAGCAGTCTGTCTTTTCTCATCTCGTCTCGATCCCTATATAATAACATCGTGGTTTGCAATCGCACTGGATGAGATCAAGAACTAGATGGGTTTTAGGAGAAAAGGCCGACTGCAAGCAGTCTATGATACCTACTGGTACCTTAATAATTCATAATGTAATATCTTCAGGAACATTGACTTATATTAACAAGATCCTGACCTCTGTCATCTCAACAGGATTAACTACAACAGGCAGCTCATCGGTAAGACCTCGCCTTTACACTGCAGCATCAACTGAAATTCATATCCGTGTGGTGATTGGGTCCAAGACGTTTTCCCTGCTCACAAGCATCTTAAATCAAGTGCAGTCTCTTAAAACGCAGATAGAAGAAAAGAGTGGCCAGCCTGCAGACTGTCAGTTGTTACGACTGAATGACAAACTTCTGGTTATGGATAGTTTTCATCTCAGTGACTACCATGTCATGGAAAACTCTACAATTTATGTTCAGGTTCATCCTTGGGATGAAGAGTATGACTGTTTATTTCACTTGTTTAACACTTACTGTGTAATCGTAATAATAATTATTACTATTTGCCATTTGCACATCTCTTATAATACACCTTTTTTTTTGCCCCCCAAAATTTTGCATAACCTTTGTTTTGTTTTGTTTTTTTCCTAGTTGGTATTACAACCATCCCAAGAGAAATTAAAAACAATGCTTATGCAAAATTTTGGGGGGCAAACAAGGTGCCTTTTGGGAAATGTACAAGTGACGAATTATGTGGGTCAGTTGTTGTAGCTGATACCAAGCTTAACAAGGTTTTAAATACCACAATTCCTTGATTATACCTAACTGCATTATTGCTTCATTACTGATGAACATTCACAAAGCAAAACAGAAAACATGGCTAAAATATGCTTACCTCCATCGATCCATCAATGTTAAGTTCATCTTTGATAGTGCATGTTTAGGTTTGTCCAGCTCCGCAAATATTCTCCAAATAGCATATGTCGTCCTTCAAGTTGTCTTCCTGCTGTTCTTGCCATGTTTTTAACTATTGTTTCGCCTAGTTCTTACTCTTGAAACGAGTAAAATGTACGCCATTTTTCAAGTTCAGAACCAAAACAACTCAACCTCGTCCCCAGGTCTTCTCGGTTAACAGTGCCTTAACCAGTGAAAACGCTGCATTTTTTACGCCATTTCCTCGTTAAACACAAAATTCTTCCAAATTTGGTCATCAGTAACTGGTTATGGTGAATTAGACGTGTGCTTTTAGCCAATCAGAATCAGGAAAATATTTTGAATGAATAATAACAGCTATTAAACCTCTAGTTTGCACTGATTTCCAAAGATAACTTTAAGCTCTTAGCCAATGAAAAGCCAGATAGTGAGTACAATATACAATAATTTTTTTTTTCATTTTGTTACAGAGGCCTTAAAAAGTCTTTTCTTTTTTTCCTTAATTAGTTGGTACGTTGGTGACCTAACTCATGATAAGATAGATTCTTTGGTCAAAAGTATGAGTACTGTACCAAAAGATGGAATGTTCCTGATCAAAGATAGCAGCACATCTCCTGGAAACTACTGCCTCTATGTATGGTGAGTCTCTAAAAGTACAGTGAAGTGTTAGTTGCATGTTTCATTTCTAATTAAGGGCCCTCTGTATCTTCCAGATACAGAGAACAATTAGTCTAATATTTCTTCTAATACCTTCCTTGCAGCGGCGATTTTCACTCCTGCTTGCATATTTCCCTTGCTCTATTGTCCCATATGAAAACGAAGGACTACGCATAGTCTAGACAGGTGTGGCTGTTGTTTTTAACAAGCTGTTTGGTAATGGTCTGTTGTTTTAATTGAACAGGTGGAAAGGCAATCCAGTGCGGTATTTGGTCGAGTTCAAGAAAAATCGTTTCACAATTGGAAACGAGCATCAATTTAATAGCTTGTCTGATTTGGTTAAGGTATGCAATGACTAAAAAATATAAAGTTCAGTACACTAAGTATACTAGTCTAATGTTAATGCTTTTTGTTAGGAAGAGTAAACTTCTGATAAAACATTCTCAGAAACTTATTTCCAATATGCTGATTTTCCAAGACAGGAGAGGCACCGCCCTCATTTCTCCTGTCTCGCAGTTTCGCCACTCGACAGTTGTGTGCGCATGTACTCTCCCAACCAAATCTGAAGAATGAGGGAGACTGCTTGCAGTCTAGACCGATAGAGGATGTAGAGAACGATATACGCGTGTCAAAACTTGACACTCTTGGGTGATCGAACTTAAGAGGGACACTAAATACAGTGAATTAGGGATGCAAAATGGTATGGAGCAAACTCGTTGCTGTTATGTGTCCTGTTTATTATCTTTAGGCTGTTTTTCACGTCTCTGTTGCAAAGGTTTATTTTAAACGCTTGATGTTTTGTTAAAACGGTTTAGCGGCAACTTATAGGGTGTCAACTTATTATGTCATCTCATTTGCAGTCGTACAGGAAGTGCCGTGGTCGTCTGAAGTCACAGCTTACAGATCCTGTCAAGGTTGACAAAGACTCAAAATGTATGTTTGATCTCTGTACAGCTGTTCTACAAATTTTAACACTGTTTTTGATGCAGTTTTTTGTATTCTTCATCAAAGTTGCTTAGTATTTTAACGTACTTGTATCTGATGAAAAGTTTCTATTTAGTGACTTCAGCGTTGCTCGGTTACATGTTCGGAGACAAGCATATCAGCCAGTATTTTTTGAATTTTGTTTATATTCATGTAGAGACATGATGATAAACTGTGTGATTCTAGATTTGGTCACAGGCAACCCAGTGCAACTGTTAGCATTTGTATAAGAGCCTTCTTGCGCCATGGTAAATTCAGGCCCCCATTGGATGGTATTGTCCACCAGATAAATCGCTATCCAGTGGATAAGTATTGGGGAAACCGATTACTTTACCAATAGGCCATTTGCACTAAGAGGTCATGTGACATCATTTTTATGAAAGTGAATGTATATGATTTTGCCTTCGAAAAACGATTAGTGGGTCATTTCCTTTTTCAAACCCGCACCATTTTCTTAAAATAAGTAAGTTCTTAGCCGGTCACGTGACCAAAATGTGATTTTTTAAATTATGAATTACCTCTTTCTGAACACATATTTTGCACTTAAAGTTCAGGGGAAATGTTAAAAAGATGATGTGGTAACGTTTACAGCACATCTGAGTGTAACTATCAAACGTTTAAAAAGTAGTTTTGGCCGCCATGTCGGAGGGCATACTCTTGCCCTCCAACATGGCGGCCAAATTAGAAATCATACTACTTTGCTGAAAAATCAAAGTGCCATAAAATATCTCCCTTAAATGCGTTTCCCCTCAAATTTCGCGTGGAAGATAATTTTTATGTGCTCTGTCAATTTTTGGCATCAGCAAGATTCCAACGCATCGTTTAGTGCAACTGGCCAGGCCAGTTGCACTAAGAGGTCACCCCGCCTATTGGCTAGAGATTTATGCAGTGGATAGTGTTTTCCACCTTTTGATCAACTAGGACCATCACTACAGGGTTTTTTTTTTGTGGTTAATTTAATGTGTCTTTTGCTCCCAGGCCGTTTTCCACCAGCTGTGGTTGCTAGAGGAAACAAAGCCAAAGCAGCTTACAGAAGAGCCCTGGAGAATGGTAAAACACGTGATGTACGCGTGCGAATCATGCTTATTGGCGAAGTTAAAGCAGGAAAAACAAGTTTAAAGAGATTCCTTAAGGGGGAAAAATTCAATAAACATGAGGCTAGTACGCTGGGAGTAGACATGGATGCACCGTTGCTGAAGGATGGCTTGAAAGCTTGGAGTGCACATAAAACAGTTAAGAACATCAGCGTTTTCGATCATAGAAGTGCTCAGCTTGTGGTTCGACAGCTCTCGGAACCTAATGGCTATCCTACTTCTGATTTGGGAAAGGGCCAATACCCTGCGAGAAAAGGCTTTTCATGTAGCGAAGCCAATTGTTCTGAACGCAAGTGTTACCTGAATCTACCCTCTGCATCTAACGGTGTATCCAATGGGATAGAGCATTGCAAAGACATGCACCACTTCAATGAACGTTTGAAAGGTATCGTAGCCAACTCTTTTAAGTTAACACGTACCATGTGGGAATAACGAAAACACATGTCACTTCTTTTTTCTGTGTTGCGAAAGGGCCTTGAAATATATTTGATGTTTTTTCCTTCAAAAACTGTGATGAAAAAAGTTGAAATGACCTTTTCCCTAAACTGTGAATGAATATTCTTGAGCAATCCTTGTCTGAGTAGATGTCGTGGAAAATATGACATGTTATAATCTACATGTTGCTTGGAGCACAAGTGTTAGAATAATTAAGCTGCAACTCTTGTAAGTCTTTCTTTGATCCAAGAACTCAAAAGTTTGTGTTGAAATGAAAACATCGTATAGTTTTTATTTTCAAGTGATCCATGAACTTCAACTTCAACTTTATTTAAATTTGAAAATATAGCAAGAGATACATTGGGACTGGCCTGCAGTTAGCGAGGCTATTCGAGGCAGGCCAGGCTACATAATTTACAACAAACTAGACAAAATAGATACGTTCTACTTAAATGCAAGGACAATAATTAAGGTGAAATTTTAAAAATAAAATACAATGAAAATAACGGACAAGAGAATTACTTTTTCATTTTCACGATGATCGTATCCACATCAATATATGAGGCTTCAGTTTCAAGGAAATCGAGTAGCATTTCTTTTAGTGATCTTTTAAAAGCTTTTTTCGGTCTTTCTTTAAGGATTTGAGGTATCCCATTCCAAATTTTGACCCCAACACGCGAAAAAGCATTTCGTCCATGAAGTTTGCACTTAAAATAGTCAGGTAAAGCTCAAACAGTTTTGAGTCCATGCTCATTTTAGGTGCCTCTTTTTCAGGAATACCGAATGGAACAGATCATTACGAAGGACCGCCCTCACCATTTCTCCAAGATGATGTCTTCACCAGTGATCAAGTTATTTCAGATCCTCTTCCGATGAATATGGCCAGCTTGGTAGAGGATATTCTCACGAGCGATCAGGACCCATCAGACAATCTGCCGCAGAATGTGGCTAATTTAGTAGAGCGCATGCTCCGACAGGAACAGTTCTCTGCTTCAGAGGAAGTATGGCCTGTGATTTGGGACTTTTCTGGTCAATCTCTTTTACATGGAATGAATCCAATCTTCATGTCACGGGAAGCCGTATATTTACTGGTGTGTGACTTGACCAAGGATCTCTTCAGCAAAGAACGTACGGGTCAGTCTGCACGAGCAACTAATATGCAACACAAAACTGACTCTTGTTTCGATCATCTGGTGAGGTGGATGGACTTGGTTCATTCCTTTCATGATACCAGCGCCGGAAGTGTTACAAGCTCTGCCCAGCCGCCAGTTATCTTAGTTGGAACACATGCCGACAAAGTCAGTGGCGATCCTTGGAACCGTTTGGAAGCCATTTTGGACAGTTTTCATGGAAAGGCATTTTCGTCGCTGATTGTTGACAAGTTTTCTGTTGACAACACTCGGGCTGGGCAAGCTCAAGAGGATCCAACTATTGTAAGATTACGGCAAAAGATCATTTCTGTGGCCTCCTTATTGCCTCATACAAACAGGGAAATTCCTCTTCAGTGGCTTTGTGTGGAGAAGGTACTCCATCGCCTTGCTGGAGAAGGATTTAAGTATATCACTCTGCAACAGTTTAAAGAAGTGGCTAAAAGAGTGTGTCGTTTTCAAGTGCATGAAGACAGTGACGAGCTGTTGCATTTTTTGTGTGATTGTGGTGCTATTCTTTATTTCAACGAAACTGATGAGTCCAACAGCTTGGTTTTCCTGGATCCACAGTGGTTAGTTCATCTATTCTGTGAAATTATAACAGTTGTTTCTGGGAAGAAAGAACCGATGAATATCCGGCAATGCCGCCAAACTCTTGCTAAAAAAGGCATCTTGTCAGAAGAGCTTGTCAACTTTGCCTGCCAAGAATCTGACGTCAACCTCTCCAAAGAATCACTTCTTTCTGTCATGGAGAAAGCAAGCCTTGTTTGCCGACTTGAAGTCCAAAATGGGGAGGTGGTCTACCTTGTACCATCAATGCTGCCGGCTACGCCAGAAAACGAAATTTTGGGATTAATTGACCAACATATGACTGCACCAGTTTATGTCACTTTCAACACTGGGTATATTCCGTATGGATTATTCTCCAGATTCGTTGTGTTGTTTTCCGATTGGGCTTCAAAGGAGCACTCTGCAAGGCCTCCCAAAATGTCTGCAAACACAGCGAGGTTTTTTATTGGGAAGAAAAAAGACTACGGTTTGACGTTTGCTTTCTTCAAAAGTGTGGTAATGGTTCATGTTCTGCGAGAAGGTAGCAAAGAAGAGGAAACAGAGATGACTGCCATCTGCCAACAAGTTTACAGGTTGGGTATTTATGTTACATGAAAGGCTTTTAAAATACTACCCCTGTGCCCTGCAAGCTTGTATACAGAAAGGGCAAAATCGGCCCTTTTTTCGTTTTTTTCTGGGTGCCATCTTTGATTGCAATGCGGAATTTCCGCAATGGCATGGTCTTGAAGAAAACCATGTCTCGTGCGATGCCCTTGATGTTTCCCACACATTGCCATCAAGTTTTTTTTCGCTTAAGTATAAAAAGCTACTTTGAATGGTTAATTCTAAGAAGTCAGTCGGTTCAGCTCTCGTGTTGAATCAGAGCGATCCAAGATCACTTTTCAGACCGTAACCGTTTAAACAGAGGAAAGCCAAGGGGTAGAGACTTATCAGATGTCCTACCACTCTCATTTAATCAGGGCCTCAGTCTTATTGAGAGCCACTCAATGAAGGTTAAAATCTGTTTTCAGGATCACCCTTTCCAGTTATCATTGTTAGTTTTCTTTTGATGTCTTGTTGCAGATGTATTGAAGATATCCTAGATTCTCTTCATCTGCGGTGTCATTGGCTGCACTCCATTACATGGACGCTGTGTGCACGCTGTGATATGTGTTTGGGTGAAAGTGAAGGAGATGATGGCTGTTCCTGGCACCATACTCCTTCCTGTCCACATCCCGATTGTGCCCACTTTATTCCATTAGGCCCTGATTGGCCATTGAGGTGTGATCAGACTATGAAGGCTAAAACCCTACTGGATGAATACAAGCTTAAGCCTTGGCTAAAGGTACATAGTTATGCTCTACAGTTACCTTGCAAGCTACTGACTCTTTACAGTTACTCTGCACAGTTGAAGACAAGGAACACAGGCTGTGGGGCTGATTCAAGTGTTGCAAACAATAAGTGCCAGTGTTTTAGCAGCTCTTTTGCATGGCACGTTAAGTTATTTACCTTAAAAAGAAAGTCTTGTTGATTTTGCTGAAATAATTTCGCATACTGAACTACTGGGCCTTTCTATACTATTGCTGTAACCCGTAATGTCCTATGTATTACCGTTGCAAAATTAATAATTGATCGTCAATCATCTTATACCGTTTCATTTTTTTCCACAGCTTTTTCGTCGAAATCATGTTGCAGGTAAATATTACCTTCCTACGCAGACGTCCATCTTTGAATCTCTTATACTTAAACAAATTGATCTCTATTGTAAAACCCATTATAACACATGTATTACACATAGACTAAACTTTAGTATGATATTATTTTTTGGGCGATCGGAATAAATATCACGTGACAATGACGTCACAATAGTTTTAGCTCTAAATCGAATTTATGCCCTTATCAGCCTTTCTTTGGAAATGCTTTACGCTACCTATACTTTGGGTGCTTGTCTTCTGATGTGCCAAGTTTCACAAAAATCTATGAGAGGAATTTCGACATATCTTGGAATTTCTACAAAAACGGTTTAAATTATGCATAAACGTAAGGCTGGACTTAATGCAGACAAATTTGCTGACTTTTGGAGGTTTCCGAAAAGTTTTTATTACTCATTCGTTTTGCAAATGACCTTATACAATCTACAACTGGCTAAACTCAAGTAGACTTGCGCGATTTGGAAAAAAAACATGAAAACATGTGAATCAACAAATGTAATGCTAAGCTCTTTTTGTAATGTCTAAGGCTACTTTCACAAAAACAGCGATTCAATCAAAATTCGTCTATAGATTTTCTTTAAAAAATTTCAGTGCTGCAATTGATCAGTGTACTGTAAAATCCCCGAATTTCGTCTCCATTGAAAACTTTTTAAGTTGTCTAACGTAGGCGCAAAATTAAGTAAATATTGAAGCGACGTCATAGGTCTGCCTAAATTTTTCAATTTCCCATTGTCTGAAGGACTCAAGGAAATAATCCTTATTTTGATGAGTATCTAATATTCACTGTAGGCACGGCTAAACTTGACGTCCAATTTTCAATTTAGTACAAGAATCAATATTTATACATCAGAAGTCTAAAACACTCTTGCACTTACATGCCGGCAACTCTTTTTAATACAATTTTCAAATACCTTTGTGGTTACATTGTACCTTGCAGACGACCTTTGTTTTAAACCTGGTGTTGTGTCACTTGATGACTTATTGTATCTCGCACACGACCTGGGTTTACAGTGGAAGAGACTGTGCCGCATTTTGTTGGGTGCTAAGGAGGTCGAACATATTGATCACGATCAAAAAACCCTTTATGACAAATGTTTCACCATGTTGGATCGATGGAAAAAGTCTCAGGCATCAGATGCTACGTATGCTGCATTAGGAATGGCCTTAATGCACGAAGACCTCCAGGCTGAAGAACTCTGTGCAAAGTATTGCCAGCAACCGTAAGGCCCTCGTGAAAGCAGTGCTGGTATATGTATGTTCGACGCTAAGATACCTATTTCTGACTGACTGGAGGTGAATGTGATCCTTATTGAATAAACAACATTTTTAAAAACTGAATCATTGGATAATGCAATCATAGAGCTCTGATTGGCTTAGCCATCATGGTATATGAGCCATGATACCATGCTTTCCAAATATGCTCGAAATTAAAAACAAGCCAAAAATCGGTTGTTCTTACAAATAAAGTCGGGAACAAGTCTAAAACATTCCTGCACTTAAATACCGGCAACTCTTTTTAATACAATTTTCAAATACCTTTGCGGTTACATTGTACCTTGCAAGCGACCTTTGTTTTAAACCTGGTGTTGTGTCACCTGATGACTTATTGTGTCTCGCACACGACGTGGGTTTACAGTGGAAGAGTCTGTGCCGCATTTTGTTGGGTGCTAAGGAAGTTGAACATATTGATCACGATCAAAAGACCCTTGATGACAGATGCTACACCATGATGGATCGATGGAAAAAGTCTCAGGCATCAGATGCCACGTATGCTACATTAGGAATGGCCTTAATGTACGAAGACCTGCAGGCAGAAGAACTCTGTGCAAAGTATTGCCTGCAACCGCAATGCCCTCTTGAAAGCAGTGTTTAGTTATTAGCCTCTCCTCTGCGAGAGGTAGGACTTCTTACTATGTAATGGTAGATTTTAACAACAGTTGTACACAGACAAGTCGTTTTCAGTGGGATTTTGGGGTCATGACATGTTACTTAGATTTAAATGCTGAATGTCAGACCAGACATTCTATTTGTCTTGTTAGCTCCATGTATTCTGTATCCAGTCTAATTTATACATAGTCGTGACATTTACATGCCTTATCTTTCTTTTCTGAAAGGGGGCTTCTCAAAGATAATATATAAATATGTGAAATAGTCATTATTAACTACGTATAAAAATTAGGTACAATAAAAGCGGAAAGAAACGAAATTGTACATTCAAGATTTCATAACTGGTCTAGAGACGTAACTAAAATCTCAAATACCTGCATTGAACCTGTACAGATAAAAGTTGATTTAAAAGTTTACTGCCTGTGGATTAACGTTGCCAACTTTTACATAACCTTGCAAGTTCGTGACTAGTTCGTCGTGTCGTCTCCTGATTTCCCAATGAATGTAGAAGGCAATTGCCGTAGATAGCAATTTACCCGTGGGTATTGGGATTGGCCCCCACACCCACCATAACACTTCCCCGCATCCCCGTCCCCACAGGCAGTGTGTATTATTCCCAGTATGGCATAAAGAATTCAAGACTGATAAAGGCCCCTCAATCGCGGTGATCGGCCTCGATAATTATATATTTTGAGGCCTCTCTGGTATGTATACCAGGAGCTCCTGGCATACCTCGTCCTCAGCGCTTTCACCTCGCTCAGAATGGTGAGCGGAGTAACACTTTGCACATGAGGTCAGGGTCCATTTTCGTTTCGCGCTTTGTAAGTAAAAATTTAGCGCAACCACATAGAGAGAATGCATGTGGGCTGTCTATTTGGTCTTGATCTCAGGTTAGGATCCGACATCGTCAACATCATCACAATTGGTGGGTGAAGTATGTTTTACTAAATATTTCGGTTTGCAATACTGTAAAAAAAAAAACATAGCATGCTTCTTTTCTTGAGCCCCTGTAGAAGGTCTGTTTTGCAAACCGAAATGTCGGAAAATACACTCTAATTTCCTTGTCCTTAAGGTCCTCTAGACGTAAGGGTCATTTAATATTAGTGTGCCGTGTTTAATGATCCAGCGCTCCTCGCTGGAATGCCGCTGTGATTTTGCCATTATACGCCGTAAAGTGTTATCTGCGCATCCTCCTTATTTGCGATTTACTCGACGAAAAGCTAACTGGAGAGGGCATTTCTTTAAGCTGTTAAGGCATTCACATAGTGGGGGCAAACTGAGCTGGGTTGGGAGAGGGCGAAGGAACCTACCCTCTCCTTTTTTCTGCGTTTTTTCCTCGCCTCCCCATTTCGCGCCACTCTCCACTCTCGCTTTGCACTAATGACGTCATAAATTTTTTGTACCTGCTGTCTGACTCAGACATTGAACAAGACTAGCCGTATTAGAAGTTTGTATGCGAAAGTCAAGACTATGTTTTTAAACACGGAAATAACTGTACAGATGAGTGATTTTATTCTTAATGCAGTGGGGCTAACATGCTGTTGAGTTACGGTGGCGGCTTACTAAAGCTACACTAAGATGCAAAATCTTGAAAATTCATGATTTTGTCGTCGAAATTTTGAAGTTCAAGATTCTGCCGGCAAAATTTTGAATTATCTTGAAATTCAAAATTTCGCCTCAAGCTATAATTTTGCCAGAAAAAATGTTGAATTTTCAAGATTCTACCAAAGCCGGCAAAATCTTAAAAAACACTGGGAATTGACCACAACAGAAAATACCATGACATACCATAATACTCTTTGTTTGTCACCCCAACATATTGCATAAGTTCTCTATAAATCCCAAGAGAAACTGATGACAATGCTTATGCAGCATTTTGGGGTTATAAACAAATAGCATTATGGTATGTTATAGCACTTTTTGTAGTCATTTTGGTGACAGGCGGGTTGGGTGACGGGTGACGGGTGATTAAACTTCCGTTTCCGGTTTGGTGAAGACCGCAGTATCATAGCAGATTCACTTGATGGTGAAACAACATGGCGGCTGGTCTTGAAAATTGCCGGCAAATTCTTCTAGACAGATTTCCGTCAATAGATGGTGACCTTTTCCAGTATGTAACAGGTAAATGCTTAAATTAACATGTTTCTATGAAACCTTGTTGTTGTCAAAGGCAATTTTTTCTTTTCTTTGTAGGATCCTAGTGTGCTCTGACTCAGTAATTTACTCTGCGTTGTTTATGACGATCGCGCTTTGATAATCATGATATAACCCAATCCATTTATTTGAGCAGCATAATTTGACCCACTGTCTGTAAATATAACCCTGCCGGTGCGTTCATTTATGTATGACGTACATGTATAACAATCTTGTCCCGAAAAGAATTTCTATTCTCTTACTTTGAACTAATTTATCCATTTCGAATTCTCTTGCGTATTCGATCCCTCTCATTCATCTTATGTTTACATTCATTTTTCTGGTATCTTGTTAAAAAGTTTCGAAAACTATAAATGGTACGTGATTTACTTAAAGAAAAAGAAATGTTTCAAATCGACTTGTATTCATTGCATACCATGATATCTCAAGATAATAGGTTCAGTGATACTGAATCAGATGCTGGCGAATAAGTTCTCTGGGAAAGGAAGGTCAAAGTGACAGCAGTTACAGAGATTCTTGATTATTTGATCAGGCAGTGTGAATCAAAACAATAATTAATATTAACAACCAACAAGGTGGAACGGGTAATGTAATTGTACTTGTAATTTGTTTACCCACAAAACACTTTGGAGTTCTTCAGAACTCGTTTAAACATGTCCATGCTTTCCAGATCAAGTTGGAATTTGGAAGTGTGTTATGACATTTCGACAACCTGTGCAGTAGTCATATTCAGAGTCTATTTACCACTGACGCATTTAATTTATTTCTGTAGCGTTTACGTTGCATACTTCAGTATTGGAACTGAAAAAACAAATGCACTTCTGTTGCTGTTTCTGAGAGGTTTCTTAATATCAATACATATATAATAAAGGCACTTTTACTCCCGCTTGTCTTTGTGGTGTCCATATGGGCTGGGTTCCAATGTACTTTACCTTGAAACTCACAAAACCGTGAACACCTGAAATATTTATGGAATGTTATTGTATTGCGAGAAATAAGCCAATAAGGCGTGAGATAACTAAACTGCAAGCAGCAACGGTAATTAATTTGTGGTTTTGAGGTTTGCTTGCGTAGCCCGAACTTTATTGTGATTGGCCAGTACGTGTACAATCAACATTCCTGAAATTTTTAAGGTGTTCACGGTTTTCTGAGTTTGACAGTAATAATGGTGGGTTTCAGTTTGAGTGTTTTGTATTCCAGTATTGTTTTATCCAGTTGCGCTATCAATAATGATATTGCAGATGTTCTTGAAAGTGGATCTGAGGATTTCGAGAGTGGTGAAGAGATATATGATGCAGTTGGAAGCATTTTAGCTGAAGTTGCTGGTGACGAAGGAGATGACAAAATTATTGACCTTTGTAATCAACTTATGGGTGCCTTAAAAGGGTAAGTGTTTTGTTAACAGACATCACAACATCATGCTTTTAATTTTTCAAATTTGCAAAGGGTCAGGGAGTTTGAATTTTGCTTTGTAGTTTTATTGATGTACCCTAAAACTAGTTCTTTTACTTAGAGTACTGACCACTTTGAATAAAGTCTCAGTCTTATAACCAATCAATAAAATAAGACATTGTTTCATTTTGAACAAAATAGTTTTCCATAAAAAACTTGCTGTAAGTTGATTATTCTGCCATTCCCAACTTGTCAATGAGCATGGAAGGAAATACATTGACCATTATGAATGCACGTTATTGTATTTCAATTTCTCTTTTTAGAGATGGCTGCGATGGAACATCAGCAGGTCAGGGAACTCATAAATTACTGGAGGCTCCTGTGAATATGGGAGAGCTTGCAGAAAACTTACTAGGTAAGGTAATCATTAAAAGCTAAACATTACATTTGAGAATAAATACCTTAACCGTATCACAAACTGTGTAGTTTCCAGGTTAAGGTTATTGTGCTCTCATTCACATAATCACTGAACTTTTCTCCCTGTCAATAATGTGTATTAACCACTATATTACAGCAATTATTTAACCTAACTCACAAAACCTAAAGAACATTTTTTTTGTTGACTACTGCCATGTTCTTTCACCTTTCAGTATTGTGTTTTTATATCTACCTGTAAATTGTAGTGAACCCTGATGAAGACACGCACAGCATTTGGATAGTGAAAAAAGAGTGCAACACAGTGAGCTTTATCTTTATGGTAGTATAAAGTACACCCGTCATACATGTATATATACCATTTTAAGAAGTAAAAAAATGTTGCACTTGGTGATCTAGTAAAGAGAACTGTTTTAATTTCCAAGTGATGTCTTGTTAGTTGGTAGTTTATTCTGTTTGGGGGGTTTCAATAAAAATAATTAACCAGCAGGTTAATTTGAATATAACAATTGACTTTATCAACAAGGAGCCCCTGTGTTAGTCCCCCTTTTCTATGGGGGTCTGGAAGCATGCTTCCCCCCAAAATTTTGAAATTGGAAAGCTGTAACATGTGATTCCCAGCATTCTGGGGACCAGATTGAGTACAACTGAATACCGTCAAGAAAATGTAGTGTTCATTCAAGTTTCGATTTATCAGCCACACAATCAACTCCTACAAGCAATAAACAAATGACGATAACCAAAATGTACATTTTGCATGTGAACAAATTCTGTGTAAACTTATAAAGAATTACAAGTGTAAAAAATTGACTGAACTACAGTGTTTATATAATAGCTAACCTTTGTGAAAACAAATAATGACGTTTCCGTCAGATTTTATCAATCCATTTACGATGTTGAAACTAGTTGCTTCTTCTTTTGGGAAAAAAGTAGCTATATACTTCTCTGAGCAAAGAAGCCTACATGTTTTGTCGGTCGTCAGTGCGTATTGAAACCCCTGTATTT